AAAATAGAAAAAAATATGTAGCAACCATGCTATTTTTGTATATTTTGTTGATAACATAACAGAATTATGTTAATCCACTTTACCACTTTAACTTTATTCCGTCGTTGTTTTACATTTCTAATTTCCGTATAAATGTTTTTTTTTTTTTTAATAAATGTTTTTTTTCGAAATATTAGAGTCAACTGGAATTGCAAATTTTTGAATAAAGTCGAACCTTCGTTTTATTATAAAAATGTTGAAATGAAAAGTATTGGCCAGACTATGGAATATGTGTGTATAATTTCGTATCTTGGTAATAACAGATGAACGATATTAAAGAAAAAGTTTAGGTACCTTTTACAAGTGGCTCCAAGTCATACTTTAAGGCCGTACTCTTCTTTAAAAATGTAGGTGTGAAGCAAACTCGGTTTGGATTTATTTTGGACCAATGTTTAATTTCCAAACCGAACAAGTACTTGATTATAGAAATAAAAATCTATGATAACCATGATTTTGGGCATGAAATGGCTTGTGTTTAGTTATTGCGGCCTCTCGAAGTTTATTTTGCCTGAATATAAAATAGTAATGTAATAATATTACATTTTTTCAGGTACATAGATATAACTTTGGAAAGTTAAAAATAAGTTTTACAAATTATTAAAATTAAAATAAATTTAAACGTTCGATTACATACAGGCATTGTGCGTGATCCACGAAATAGTTTTTTATATATTTACCCAATTTAGATAAAAAAATGTATAGAACCATATAATGTTATCTAGATAAATAATACGGTTAGAAGAGGGAGAGAGTATAAAATTTGTAATTGAACCTGATAAAAGAAGGTTTAACCGTTACAAGATTGTTAAAATGTTAATTTTTAAATTGTATTAGACAGTTGTTCGTTTGCTAAATTAATATTTATTAAAAAAAATAACACAAGGTTTTTAAAACATTTGTACATTGGATTTATAAGTCATTACTATTGATTACAATTTGTTAAATATAATCTATTTTTTGCTATATCGGTACATGATTAAAGTAAGCATTTACACGTAATTTATAGTGTAACAATTAACCCATAGAATGTAACTACTTACCACGCCATGATGTTAGTTGTAACATTTTAAATGAACAAATTTAATACTATATATTGTGTGAAAAAAAAATATAATTCTTAGTAAAAATTGGCTACTGAATAGGATGTAACCCTAAAAAATAGACTTACGGCCATTATAAAAATAATAAAAATTTTCAAATTGTATTAATTAATCTCACTCTCCCATAATATTATTTAAGTAACCAAATCTGTCAGTTTGGTAAAGGTTTTTTAATGTGAAATACAGGATATTTTTATTGAGTAAAATTAGTAGCACTAATAATGTATAAAGGAATTGAAATATTTTAATGTTTGGAAATTAATTATATTTTATTTACCTATTAATTATAAAGATGTATTTTTAAAAATGAATTTTAGTTAGGGGCAACAACATGAACATCCTGGTTTTCCTTTACATAGATTTCTTTTTTCAGGGTTACGAATACAGTGCTCGGGGTCGGATAATTCGGTAACTGGAAAACAATCCTGGCCACACCCGACGTTGGCATTTGTAGAAAAAACATACAGTAATATAAAATAACATAGGGAACTAATTAAAAACATCAACTTCATTATAATACGTGACGAAAACTGTTACCGAATCGAAATATTTAGCTGCTTGAATCAGTTCTGATGAAATGGAACGGTTGTTGATTGAAATCTGGCGTTGTTCAATAGAGAAAAGGTGAAGTCGATAATCGATTTTTAAGGTGACGAATTGATACCTTCAATCTGTAAAACGATTTAGGATAATTATAGTTTTTAACGCAGATTACAAACTTTTGTGTCGGAACAAAAAAAATAAACCATCGAATATACCTAAATTATAACATAATATCAGTAGTTGGGAGCATTTTATAGAGACACGTGTTCAAATAACTACTTTATGAAATGTAGCTATTTCGTTTCTACGCCATATGATCAAATATTATGACATTCTGATAAATTGGTTATTAACCCTCCTCAAACTATCTATGTTCTAACTGGTTGTACATGTTAATTATATTATTTTTAAANTCATAGTATTTATAAAAGCTAATAAACAAGGAAATTTCATTGAAGTGGTACTTTGAGGTTTTCTTTTTTTGATTGTCTTCAGTGTTTTTTCCTAGCATATGTAAAAATCAGTAATAAACATGAGATAATCGAGAAAAATTTAGAACTAGGGAAATGGGTACAACATTAAACATATATTATTAAAATAAAATAAATAGAACCTATTTAATTATTTAACTGTATGCCATATTTATTGTTGATAAACCGTTACTATCAACCGAAATCTGCTCAGAATTGTTTTTTGAAAAGTAATGTTTTATCGTTGCTTACAGGTGTATATTAAATTATTTATAACAGTGCCTGCACCTGTCTTAAATATCTTAGGACATCGTTTTTTTTTGTATAAGCTTTCTGTAAAACTATGATAAAAATATAGATTTAATCGTATTGACAGTTTTGTGCTCAACATTGCTAAACCAATTAATTATATACACTTGTGTATAAATATTATATATTAATTAATTTTATTATCTAGAACATTTTAAATAATGTGATTTAAATATACAACTAGTTAAAACATAGGAGTTTTGCGACCCAGTAATGAGTAATTTATCAGAATACCATTTTATTTGATCATGTGGCGTAGAAAGGAAATATCCGCTTTTCAAATAATTGTGTATAATTAACACATTTCTGTAAATAATGCAACTCACTATTAAAATTTAGATGAATTCGATGATTTATTCTTTTGTTACGGTACATAAGCCCGTAATCTGCATTGAAAACTATAATTATACTGAACCAGTTTTACAAAGAGACGGTAACATCCCATCAATTCGTAATCTCAAACAGGGATTCTCGTTTCTTTACTGACCAGCGTCAAACTTCATTCAACGTCCGTTCAATTGGATCAGAATTGTTTCAACTACAAGAAATTAAATAAACTAATTTGGTAACATTATTCGTCACGTATTATAATGAAGTTGATGTTTATTATTAGTTCGCTGTGTTATATTGTATTACTGTATGTATTTTCAACGAATGGCGAAGGCCATTGTGGCGATGACTGTATTATAGTAACCCCATTAATAGGCCCCGCAGACTGTTTTAGTGAACGTACAAAGAAAAAGCTGTGTACTTATTCACCACCAGGGTGCTCATGTTGTTGTCCCCCCTAAAAACTGCGTTAAAAATACATACCTATGAAAAATAAAAATGAAATATATATCATTTCTAAAAATTGAATCTATGCATTTTTGATTTAATAGTGCACATCCTTTCACTTAATTAATAGATTCTTATTATTAATTTCTTAATTAAAGAAATTAAAATTTGTTAAATATGATCAAATGTTTACAATATTGGTACATAATTTTAGTACCAATTTTATGTACCTACTAATAATTTAGTGTATAAATAACCCATAGAATGTAACTATTTACTCTTTCATAAGGCAAGTTGTCACCTTTTTACTGACCACGTTTAATATAATATATTGTATAAAATTAGGTTATATTTATCTCAATTAAAGTTTTTATCTAAATGTGACTACTGATTACGATGTGGCTCTATAAGATGGAGTAATCGCTTATATGAAAATGATAAGAATTAAATATCCATATTGTATCATATAACCCCGCCTTCCATTAATATTGCTGAAGTAATTGATCGTGTCTCATTAGTGATGATATGTGAAATACAGGATATATTAATTAAGTGACAAAAGGTGGAATATTTATTTAAAAAAATAAAACACCACTATTACACCAAGAATAGTAATAAATTTAATAACAATTTATTATGTATTATATTATTTAAAATAACATATCTGAAAACCTAACAATAAACTTTCAAAATAATAAAACTAAAATCACATGATTTTTACCACACATGATTTTAAAATATAACGACACATCATACACGACAAGAATGATAAATTAATTCATAAGTTGATAACACTAAGATACACGTGACGGTGAGTCATAAATTAGAACTCTATTTTCATACACTGTGGCAAATATAACAATATTTTAACAAAATTCCTCTGAAAATCAATGTTAACAACTTTTTTTTTATAGTAAAATTGATTTACCAATAATAAATACATGTTATATGCATTTATGAACTAACATGCAACAATCCTCCGAATATGCAAAATATGCAAAGTCAAATTTGGTATTTGAATTCGGTGTGATATGAATAACATTCAATTCTCCTTTATGGATATCTACACTATTCATCCAATCTTCATGAATCTTGATGAAATTTTTCCACGATATCCGGAGAGGATTTATACAGTTTATAGCTATTGAAAACCACTTCATATTAAATACCGTTCCATAAAATTGGATAATAAAATTAATTATTATATAATATTTATACACCAGTGTATAAAATTAATTGGTATAGCAGGCACTGTTATAGATAATTTAATATACACCTGTAAGCAACGATAAAATATTACTTTTAAAAAAACAATTCTGAGCAGATTTCGATTGCACGTCTAAGGGGGGTTTAAAATGTTTGTTATTCATATCACACCAAAAGGTGACAACTTGCCTCATGAAAGAGTAAGTAGTTACATTCTATGGGTTATTNGTACACTAAATTATTAGTAGGTACATAAAATTGGTACTAAAATTATGTACCAATATTGTAAACATTTGATCATATTTAACAAATTTTAATTTCTTTAGTTAAGAAATTAATAATAAGAATTTATTAATTAAGTGAAAGGATGTGCACTATTAAATCAAAAATGCATAGAATTCAATTTTTGGAAATGATATATATTTCATTTTTATTTTTCATAAGTATGTATTTTTAACGCAGTTTTTAGGGGGGACAACAACATGAGCACCCTGGTGGTGAATAAGTACACAGCTTTTTCTTTGTACGTTCACTAAAACAGTCTGCGGGGCCTATTAATGGGGTTACTATAATACAGTCATCGCCACAATGGCCTTCGCCATTCGTTGAAAATACATACAGTAATACAATATAACACAGCGAACTAATAATAAACATCAACTTCATTATAATACGTGACGAATAATGTTACCAAATTAGTTTATTTAATTTCTTGTAGTTGAAACAATTCTGATCCAATTGAACGGACGTTGAATGAAGTTTGACGCTGGTCAGTAAAGAAACGAGAATCCCTGTTTGAGGTTACGAATTGATGGGATGTTACCGTCTCTTTGTAAAACTGGTTCAGTATAATTATAGTTTTCAATGCAGATTACGGGCTTATGTACCGTAACAAAAGAATAAATCATCGAATTCATCTAAATTTTAATAGTGAGTTGCATTATTTACAGAAATGTGTTAATTATACACAATTATTTGAAAAGCGGATATTTCCTTTCTACGCCACATGATCAAATAAAATGGTATTCTGATAAATTACTCATTACTGGGTCGCAAAACTCCTATGTTTTAACTAGTTGTATATTTAAATCACATTATTTAAAATGTTCTAGATAATAAAATTAATTAATATATAATATTTATACACAAGTGTATATAATTAATTGGTTTAGCAATGTTGAGCACAAAACTGTCAATACGATTAAATCTATATTTTTATCATAGTTTTACAGAAAGCTTATACAAAAAAAAACGATGTCCTAAGATATTTAAGACAGGTGCAGGCACTGTTATAAATAATTTAATATACACCTGTAAGCAACGATAAAACATTACTTTTCAAAAAACAATTCTGAGCAGATTTCGGTTGATAGTAACGGTTTATCAACAATAAATATGGCATACAGTTAAATAATTAAATAGGTTCTATTTATTTTATTTTAATAATATATGTTTAATGTTGTACCCATTTCCCTAGTTCTAAATTTTTCTCGATTATCTCATGTTTATTACTGATTTTTACATATGCTAGGAAAAAACACTGAAGACAATCAAAAAAAGAAAACCTCAAAGTACCACTTCAATGAAATTTCCTTGTTTATTAGCTTTTATAAATACTATGATAGATAAATAGATATAATCTTAATATTCTATACAGTTTAGTATTCATCATTTTATAACTATTAAATATATACACATCTGTATAAATATAATATGTTAATCAATTTAATTATAAAGGATTTTAAAAATAATATAATTAACATGTACAACCAGTTAGAACATAGATAGTTTGAGGAGGGTTAATAACCAATTTATCAGAATGTCATAATATTTGATCATATGGCGTAGAAACGAAATAGCTACATTTCATAAAGTAGTTATTTGAACACGTGTCTCTATAAAATGCTCCCAACTACTGATATTATGTTATAATTTAGGTATATTCGATGGTTTATTTTTTTTGTTCCGACACAAAAGTTTGTAATCTGCGTTAAAAACTATAATTATCCTAAATCGTTTTACAGATTGAAGGTATCAATTCGTCACCTTAAAAATCGATTATCGACTTCACCTTTTCTCTATTGAACAACGCCAGATTTCAATCAACAACCGTTCCATTTCATCAGAACTGATTCAAGCAGCTAAATATTTCGATTCGGTAACAGTTTTCGTCACGTATTATAATGAAGTTGATGTTTTTAATTAGTTCCCTATGTTATTTTATATTACTGTATGTTTTTTCTACAAATGCCAACGTCGGGTGTGGCCAGGATTGTTTTCCAGTTACCGAATTATCCGACCCCGAGCACTGTATTCGTAACCCTGAAAAAAGAAATCTATGTAAAGGAAAACCANTTTTACACTATTATTATTTTAAAAATTAATCAGTCATTCATTAAACTGTTTAATGTTATATCTATTTATCTAAAAAAATATAATAAGCGCTCGCACCGAAGTCATAAAAATGTATTCTGGCAAAACAAATTTCGAGTGACCCCTTTGACTAAACACAAGCCTTTTAATGCCCAAAGATATTTGTTAGGTTTGGCAAATAAACTCTGGTCCAAAATGTTACCATTCCAAATTATCATCTCGCCTAACTTTTAAAAGAAACGTCAAAGAAAAATATCAATGTTTTTTTTTTATCATTCCAGAAGAGTCAGTATCCGATCTATAACTTTCATTAATTACATTTAAATATGAGTCAAATAAAATTAGGCAATATAAACACAACATCAATCGGCTCTTTGATGATACCGCCGTGTCGTCATCATTCTCTCGCACTATATACCATTATAATTATTTCTATGCAAATTTCTAATCAAAACGTAACACTATTTTTTTTTATGGTTCACCTTTTGTTTTGGCTTATATAAACATATAAAATTAAATGGTTATTTAAATTGAAAATGAAGCGTCTTGATCCCTCGAGAAATTCCAAGTCGATCACTCTATCGAGAATCCTGCACACAGCAACAACTACGTTTCACCAACTTCTTTTGATGATCTCTTTCAAAAAGCTTACTCCGACATTTACCAGCTATAATAACTCGTGTTCGATTTATTTATTAATTTACTTTATCGATTATTGTTTGTCCATGGTGCACAAATTCATAATGAACAATGTCTTCAATATCAAAAAAATTATAAAAATTATATATAATTTGCCGATAAAAAATATCAGCGTTGTCTTGACATTCGATTTACTTGGCGAGCTTTTTTTGGTCGAGCAGAAAATTTTGTTTTCCACTGAGATGACTGTAACTGTGTTTCCGGGTTGTACCCATAAACCCATGTCGTCCCCTGTAATGATGTGTTTTATGAAATTTATATCAGCAGATCGATTTTTAAGGTCTTGACAAATCTTTAATCGATTTTCCTTTTGTTCCGATGTCAACATGCGTGGAATGAATTTAGCAGCTACCCTTCTCATCTGTACATTTTCCGTTAAAATTTCATGACAAGATACAATTGGAATTCCTGCTTCATTCGCTAACTCGCGAACAGTTAATCTGTGGTTATTTCGAAGTTTTTCTTAAATGTTCGCCACAACATCATCGTTTCTAGATGTCGATAGTCTTCCAGAACGTGGATCATCTTTAATTGACTATCGACTATCCTTGAAACGATTAAACCACTCGAAAGTAACGGAGTGACTTAAAGAATCGTCTCCAAAAGCAGTTTTAATCATTGTGTACGTTTCAGTTGCATTTTTACCAAATTTCAAGCAAAATTTGATGCACACACGTTGTTCGTTAATTTCGGACATGACGAGAACGGAGAAGGAAACAAACTGTATAGATTTAACCACGTAGAATATTAAACTGAGATAAAATAGCGACTTCGGGTTTTGTTCAAAATATTCTCTAATACGTTGGGAATACATCTAATTATAATTTAAAACGTTATCATGTATAGATTAGCCGCAATAATATTTGTCCTGGTACTTTTTAACAGACCTCGTACACCTACCATCAACATTAATGCCCCGGTTACAGAAAAGATATCGCAACCAAAAAGAAATAGTCGCTTTATCATGGAGTGCGGACATTATTTTTTACTAGCTTTTAATAAAACTTTGACGGAAAAATAGATTAAATCGTAATATTGTAGACAGTTTTGGGCTTACCATTACTATACCAATTAATTATATGCACTGCTTTATAAATATATTACATTAACCAATTTAATTATCTATACATTTGTAGTAATTTAATTTAAATTTACACCAAGTTGGAACATAGGAGATATGCGAGCGGTGATGAGCAATTTATCAGAATGTCATTATATTTGATCATATGGCGTAAAAAAGAATAGCCGCGTTTTATAAAATGGTGAATACTTTTTTGAACACATGTTTATGAATAATGCTCCCCTACTTATAAAATTACATTATGATTTAGATATATATTGATTGATTATTTTTTTGTTACGAATCATAAGCCCGTAATATGAGTAGAAAACTAAAATTATTCTGAATCGGTTTTTTAGGTTGACGGTATTTTCCCATCAATTCTTGATTTCAAACCGCAATTATCGTCCTCAAAATTTCTTCATTGACCAGCGCCAAACTTCAAACAAAATTTTTACTAGTACATTCAACTTATAACAGTGGCTGCATCCGTAAACATTAAACTAAGACGTCTTTTTTGTTTTACTAGCTTTTAATAAAACTATGACAGAAAAACAGATTTAATCATAATATTATAGACAGTATTGGGCTCACCATTATTATACCTATTACTTTTATACACTGCTGTATAAATATAATATATTAATCAATACAATTATCTATAATTTTTTAATAATTTAATTAAAATGTACACCAGGTTGGAACACACGGGATATGTCAAGCTGCGATAAGCAATTTATCATAATACCATTACATTTGATCATATGAAATAGAAAAAAAAATACCGCGTTTTATAAAAAGGTGAATAATTATTTAAACACATGTCTGTAAATAATGCTCCCTACTAATAAAATAACATTATGATTTAGGTATATTCGATGATTTATTTTTTTGTTACGAAACATAAGCACGTAATCTACATTGAAAACTATNAACAGCAATTATCGTCTCCGAAATTTCTCCATTGACCAGCGCCAAACTTCAATCAACATCCGTTCAATTCGATCGGAATTGATTTAGGCAACTGAATACACTCATTTGGTAAAATTATTCTTCATGTATTAAAATGAAGTTGATGTTTTTAATTAATTGCATATGTTATATTTTATTACTGTATGTATTTTCAACGAATGCCAACTCCAATTGTGGCTCTGGATGTGTTCCTCTTGTCGATAAACCCGACGGTGATATCTGTAGTGATAACCCTGATAAAACAGTAATATGTTTTGGGAATCCAGGGTGTACATGTTGTTGTCCCAACTAAAAACTATGTGCAAAAGACATACATATAAAATAAAAATTAAATAAAATATATATAATTTTCAAAAATGTAATTCTTTGCGATTTCAGTATAATATTCTACCTCTTGTCACTTAATTAATATATTCTGAATTTCAAATATCATCACCAATAAGACACAATTAATAACTTCAACAATATTAAGGGAATGCGGGGTTAGATGATACAATTTTGGTATATTTATTTTTATTAATTTTCATATACGTGGTTAGTCCATTTTAGTCAGTTGTCACATTTTGATAAAAATTTTAATTGAAATTAATCTAATTTAATTATAAATAATATATTGTATGAGATGTCAAAATATAACAACTTGTCCCATAGTTGGGTAAGTAGTTACATTCTATGGGTTAGTTGTTACACTATAACTTGTATGTATGTACCTACCTTAATCATGTATTAATATAGTAAAATATTTGTTATATTTAACAAATCGTAATCAATAGTTATGTTTTTATAAACCTTATAACATTATTGTTAATAAATTTTAATTGAACAATCGAACAACTATCTAGTACTATTTAAAATTTTGAGTGACCGCTATAACTATACACAGGCCATTTTATGACCAAAATTATGATTATCTTAGGGTTTTTATTTCTATAATCAAGTATTTGTTTGGTTTGGCAATTACCTTTGGCTCAAAGTGAATCTAAACCGAATTAGCTTCACGCCTAATTTTAAATAAGAAGGGTAGGGCAAAAGTTCGGCTTAAACATAAGATTCGGCGCCATTGCTAATAGGTACCTACAATTTGACTCTGCTGTCCATTATCTGTAATTACTAAAATACTAAATTAAACATACAAATTTTATATTTTGACCAATACTATTCGTCCGAACATTTTAATATTAAAACAAAGATTCGACTTTATCGGTCAATTAGTTGACATTTCACTTGATTTTAACATTCAGAAATTTATATTGTAGTAAATAATAAAAATTAAATATACAAACTTTACAAATTTTAAATAACGACGGAATAAAAATAAAATAGGACCAAAGAAAAATTAAAGGTAAACGTAAAGTTGATTAACAGAATATTATTATGTTCTAAATGAAATATACAAAACAGTATAGTAGCAATATATTTTTGTCTTTCGTGTTCTCAACTTAAATCGTAAATTATGGGCAATTACTAAGACTATTGTTTTTATCGGTTACTTCGTTGGAGACGCTGTAAATTGTATTAATACGATCTCGTACTTGAAGTTCCAGTAACCTAAATAATAGTAACAAATAAATATAATACGTAAGTATGTTTAATGATTATTAGACTATATTAAATGAATATAGAATCGGTCAACATAAATAATAATAATAATAAAGTCTTGTGTTATAATGAAGTTGATGTTTTTTATTAGTTCCCCATGTTATATTATATTACTGTATGTATTTTCATTGAACGTTGACGCCAAATATGGCCCAGACTGTGTTCCAATGAACGAAAATATCGAGCCCGATCGCTGTTTTAACGAAGAAAAACAAAAAGTATGTATGTGAATCCAGGATGAACATGTTGTTGTCCCAACTAAAAACTATGTGCAAAATACATACATATAAAATAAAAAGTAAATAAAATATATATCATTTTCAAAAATGTAATTCTTTGCGATTTCGGTATAATATTCCACTTCTTGTCACTTAATTAATATATCCTGTATTTCACATATCATCACTAATGAGACACGATCAATTACTTCAGCAATATTAATGGAAGGCGGGGTTAGATGATACAATTTGGATATTTAATTCCTATCATTTTCATATAAGCGATTACTCCATCTTATAGAGCCACATCTTAATCAGTAGTCACATTTAGATAAACACTTTAATTGAGATAAATATAACCTAATTTTATACAATATATTATATTAAACGTGGTCAGTGAAAAGGTGAAAACGTGCCTCATGAAAGAGTAAGTAGTTACATTCTATGGGTTATTTGTACATTAAATTATTAGTAGGTACATAAAATTGGTACTAAAATTATGTACCAATATTGTAAACATTTGATTATGTTTAAGAAATTTTAATTGTAACAACTGTCTAGTACTATTTAAAAAAAAATGACATTTTAACAATCTCGTAATTGTTAAACATTTTGTTATCCTGTTTAAATACCACTTGTATACTCTCTCTCACACCTATGTGTATTATTTGTCTAGTTAAGATAATATGGTTCTACACATTTGTTTTAACTTAATAGGGCAAAATGATAAAAAAATATTATGTAAATCACGCACTATACGTACATGTAATCGAATACATTACACAATTTTCATTTTAATAATTTGTAAGACTTATTTCAAACTCTCCAAGGTTATATCTAATTATCTAAAAAATTGTAATAGGTATGGGAACAAAAGTCCTAAAATTGTATTCGGGCAAAATAAATTTTGAGTGACCGCTATAACTAATCACAGGCCATTTCCTGCTCAAAATTATTTTTACCTAAGGGTTTTTATTTCTATTATCAAGTATTTTTTCGATTTGACAATTAAACTTTGGCTTAAAATTAATCTAAACCGAATTAGCTTAATGCCTAATTTTAAATAAGAAGTGTCAGGCAAAGGTCCGGTCCAAACATAGGATTCGGTGCTATTATTAATAGGTATATACAATTTTCTTATGCTGTCCATCACCTGTAATTACTGAAATACTAAATTATACACACCAATGTTATATTAGGGCCAATATTATTTTTCCAAACATTTTTATACTAAAACAATGATTCTACTTTATCTATCAATAATTTTTACTTTTTCTTTCATTTTAACACGAATAAAAGGATATTGTTGGAAAAAAAACATATTATACAGACATTACAAATGTAAAACAAATACGTAATAAAGGTAAAGTAGGACCTAGGAAAAATTAAAGGTAATACTTCTACGGTAAACAATATACGTTTCATTAACAAGTTTCAAGTTTTTACGCGAATTTAAAACCGAATTACAATCAAAAAACTCTCAATAATTAAAATTCCTTAAGAGCTTAAAATTGGCTCAAAAGTTCTGGTGATGATACCGGAAGAAAGAAAATTCATAGTTCAACAAACGACCGACTCAAATTTTTACCAAAGACCACTCCTAGAAATTTAATAGATTCAACATAATATTCGAGGTTATCACATGTACAGGACGCTAAAGATCTATTACAATACGAGTAGAGAACTTTTAAAGGATTACAAGTTAAATTGTTATTATTGTTCATGTCAAAATACATGTATTTAGACTTACAAATATTTAATTCTAATAAATTATTTATAAACCAGTTAACTAGATTTTCTAAGCTATTCATAGCTCAATTAATTAATTCTAAATTAACTAAATTAAATGTAATAAATTACAAGCGTGTAATATCTGCAGTACCTAATTTATTAAACCATATTGATTGTGTAATAGGTTATTGTAAAATATACATATAAATATACTAAACGTTGTTACACAAATACAATATGTCCATATCAATCGTAAGACATTCGTTATCTCAAAAAATATTATTTTTTTCCGAAATTTGTTTTTTAGAATATTTAAAATACAATCTGTTCTACAATTACATGTTTATGTTACTTTTTTGTCATTCTTATTTTTGGGAGTAAAACCACTACCTACTTTTGATTTTCAAATGGTAACCTATATTAAAAACTCCATAAATACATATAAATATTAGTGAAAATAAATTTTGGTGTTGACATTTTCGATTTCCGGCAATCCGTTGACGAGATATTCCACTTTTAAGTTTTTGGTTGGAGGAGAGTGGTGGTGTATTAATACGCTGCGCGTCGTTCCGTCACAAAAAAGTAAAAAATATCTTGTCAAAGGATTGACTTTAAAATTTATTGAAATTTAGTTCATTTAAAATGCCTATAAATATCTCAAATTTGCTTGAATGTTTATGGGTCTAGAAATGGTCAATGTAAGATTTCTGTGAACCTTACGGCTCTAAACGAATATTTTAAATCGATCTACAACGAAATTTTTAAATAATGAAACCATTATTATCGTAAATTCTCCATTTTTTCCACGTTAATTTCCGGTTTCTCAATTGCTTCGAAACGAAAAAAAAAAACACGTAAAATTGTAATGTATTTTAATTTTAAAAATTATTAAAAAGTTTAATTTGGATTAATCAAAACGTGCTTCACCGAACTTTGTTCTGAATTATTATTTGATTTAAATGATCCGTTGTTGTGTATACAGATACAAATTAAATTAATCCATCCCAATTTGTTTGTGTTCAATTTGATTTATATTTTTCATAAAACTACATTCGTATGTTCAATAATTTGTGGAAATACTAAAATTGTCGTTCGAATTAAATTTATAAATAATAAAATCGTTTGAATCATTGAAATCCGCACGCGCAAGGCAAAAGCTTTCGAATCTGTCATTAAAACCCATTTTCTGACGTTAACGAATGTGTATACTTTTCGAAAATCGTTCGTCATTTAATAGGCGACAGTAAAATAGTAACACAGAAAATATTGTATATTTACCGGGTGGATAAACATCGATAATTACTATGATGGAATATTCTGATAACGCGTTTTCCGTGTTTCGATAAAAAAAAAAAATAAATAAAAAAATCGTACACACAGTTTAAATATTAGATAAAGTGCGATGTACTTCGTTCCCATATAGAGTATTTTTTTTTTCGAGTGACGACATTCGTTCTATACACACAAAAATAGTCGACCGTCATGTCGTCTAATGAAAACGTAGGGCCCGTTTACCTAAAGCACCGAACGTTCAACGAATCCGGATACGGAAGGCAGTCGCAACAAAGTTTATTGTTTGACGACGCAGTGGACCAATCGAGTTACAGCGCATTCGGTTCAAATGGAAAAACCGCAAATTTCAGTAATATTATTTTTTATTTATAATATTTCGATTCTGAGCATAACGAGGAATGTATTGGTTTTCTATGACGAGATGGCGTGTGCTTTTAGATTCTGAATGGGGTGAGGAATGTATTGGTGTTACAATGAAGTTTTTTTTTTTCTATACTGTGTACAAAAATTCTACTAGAAATCTTGGGATTTTCAAGTGTACCTAACCTTTTCTGTAATGCAAAATGTACGAAAACAACTTTAACTATTTTAAATTTTGTGTTTTTATTGTAATCGAGTTAAAAATGTTCGTAAAGACTTGCAATTTAGACAGAAATATTATATTTGATTTTTATAGATGAGGTGAAATTCTTAAAATATTTGAGCTATTTATAGATATCTTAAATTTTGCGAGTTTTTATGCAATATTTATTCAGTGGGTATCCTGTGGATAAAATTATTATACCAAACAAAAATGCTTAAAAATTTATCAGAAGATTCATTAGTATTTGAACTAATTGTAATTAGTAGTCAATAAGAAAAAATTAAGTTTAATTTTTAATAATATATTTTTTTTTATTATAAGAATTTTAATATTAAACTTTAACGGAGATCATACATATTACGGCCTTTTAAATATGTATATTCGATCTCTACTCAGAATCGTTTTTCGTTTACAAAGATTATTCGTTGCGTATAGATACATTAAATGCGCTTATATATCCTATTTTTCCAAAATATTACCTACAACAGTGGCTCACCCATCGTGCGAAGTATGTCAGTCTTTTTTTTCTTTTCCCAATTATTATAAAAACTACTCGGAGAATCAAAAAATAAACTTTTCTTTCAATTCATCAACTAGATCCAAAGTACTGCAAAATGCTCTTTTATAATTTTTGATTGGAGTAATATTTCTCGTGGAAATGTTGTTAACAGTCAGACATAAAACAAATACCAATAGTAGTATAGTAAAATTAATACATGCCTCAATACGCTCAGAATCTAAAAGTTGATTGTAATCTAGTAATTTTAGATTCTGATTTTAGCGAAGAATGTATTGGTTTTACAAAGATGATTATTTTTTTTTTATGTGAACACTTTTTCTACCAGAAAGCCTACTCCAATTATTAAGTATATCATATTTTCTGAAAGGAAATGTTTTCTAAGTGGTACATTAGAGAGTTCTTTTTTGAAATTCTCATTAATATTCGTGATAATGAGGTAAACCTGGTTCTTAAGGTTGAAAAAGATTGAAAGATTAAAAATAAGGTTGTTGTAGAATAAAAATAAATTTAAAATAGCAGGAAAAAGGGGAAAGGGTGAAAAGGAGAGGAAGAAGGAATGGGTATGGGAAAGAGTATAGGGTTATAAAGGGGTAATAGGTATAGGTATATTCATATTCGTATATATGACGTATGACGCGAACGCCCAGCGATTTACTTATTGATAGGATTATTGACGGTAGTGTTGCCATAACGCAGAATCGGTCGGATAAGACCTTAAATAGACTCACAGCGTAATATGTTGACAAATAGTGTGTATATATAGTATAGTGTGTGTGTGTGTGTGTGTGTGCACGTGCGGTCGTTGGGGTTGTATTGTAATTTATGTACGTATATTTATATTGTGTCGATAAAAAGCGTATTTATGATATTTATTGACGATGGCTATTGCCTACATCGTAATAAGTAATATATCTCTTCTGCCTATTTTACTCTTATTAATATTTTACTACGAAAGTATGTAAAAATTACACTTATCTTATATTTTCTGTTAAAAGTTCAAAAGAAGTTCGTTGCTCAAAATATTAGGCACAGGATAAAAGGGGTATTGGTATCAATGAATCGATGCAATGTATACGCCTTGTTTGGTACCCAATAGACTTATGAATACTCTTATGTAGATAACAGCTCACAACGCAGCAACCAGGTATATAGACAATGAAAATATTAGCAAGAATTATATTTTATCCACCGCCCTTTACAAACGTATAGACAACCGTTCCGCAGAGATGAATGGGTTATACGACACAATCTATGGTGAAACAATAGTGACAATAAGTACAATTACCAGGTATACAGGTATATAGGATAGAGAGAACCAAATACAGCAGCCCGCCTTCGGTATCTGCAACTACTGTATAGGTTTAGAAAAAAAGGTATGGTTGAAGTGAGTGAGCAAAAAATGTTTGCTTCCGCTGGGCGAACCTAGAGAAGTGAAAACTGACTCAGACACAGTTAGACCGTTAGAATGGTCAGAATGGTCAAAATGGCTTTTTGGGCGACGCGTATGGCGTATTTATGCCCTCCGCGGTCTTTCACACAGACGACCTCACTTCGCTACGGTAGCTGCATGAGCGCCTTCATGTGAGCGACGCATGTAATTAATATTTTGAATTAATATGTGCCGTATTAAGGTGGCAACATTGTTTAAGAGATGTTTGTGATAAAACTGGTAATTGTGTTGTGTAACCATGATCGTTTATTTTAATTATCGTTTATTTATTACAAGTATTAAATATTCAATAAATTAAAAGGTTGTCATTGGGAACCGTTTTTATTTATTTATTGTTATTATTAAGTTTTTAATCGTTTAATATTGTTAAGCAATCACTGTGTTATGGAAACGTGCATTTTTGTGATTATTATATACCATAATATGACATATATATTGTTGACAAAGCAACACCATCAAGTGAACTCCTCTGAGAATCGTTTTTTCGTTAGCAATGGTTTATCGTTACTTAGAGATATAAATAAAATAACCTTATATATCCCACCTTCCTAACTTCTCACCTAGAACAGTTGCCGCTTCCATTCCCAGTATCAGTTTTTTTTTTACATTCACGTTTTCAAGTCCGGATTAGGACATTACAAGTTTCCGGGAATACATTTTTCAATGAGGCATTTTAAAAAGGGGTAATAACAAAAACAAAAAGTTAAAAAATATTTACTCACAATTGTATGACAATATTTTTAGTAAAATAAAATATAAACTCCTGTGACTCGAGGGCCTCCCGCCGTCCATCTTTTCCCCTTAATTAGGGTTGGCACTTGTTATTGCGATCATAAACATGCACATAAAACACATAAACATAACGCGTGAGAATAAGATGTTATACGCCAAATGTAATAATGTGATGACTATTGTACCCATGTGAACAATTATAAAAAAAATGTTTACTGTCGTAGATCTCGAAATTCAAGACGATCGAGGTATGCCGGTAAACTATGCGAGAGTTAAAGCGTTAGAAGAAATTATACGGAAAGATATTGTTAGCGATAAAAATTCATTGCACAGAGCAATCACTCCGGTGCTGACGTTAGCTAATTTTTTCGCCCTTTTACCAGTACAGGGTATTAAAGGACAGAATACTAGTTATTTGACGTGAGTACAATTACTTTCGTATACATTATTAATATTAATTTATTGTTGTCATTATTACTCTAATCAATGTCTCTAACCTGGTACTCTGGCTCATAATTGGGTCCCTAGGAAAAATATTTCCAATGCCCCTTAAACAATAAAATAAAAAAGTCAGATTCAATTACTACACACTAAAAAAAAATATTTCCTGTCCATGCAATGTATAAATGTATTTACATTTTAGAGTTTAGAAACATAGGCAGAAATCGTTGCACTTAGGTCCGATCTATGACTATATTTGGTGATGCCATTTTGACGATAAAAGCAAAAATTCACAAAAATTATTACAATTGATCGCTTTACTACAAAACAACATATAATTTATAGTTCTGTAGTCGACAGCGAAAAGCTATGTGAAAAAAGGTGAACATTTTAGGAGATAAATTTAAAAGCGACTAATGACGATAATTGTAACTATATTACTATTTCTATCAGCAAGTGGCATCGCCGAAAAGTCCTATTACTCTGCAATGAATTTTTTACAACCTGCCTTGTGTACATTTTCGAGACTAAAATATAATGTAATTAGCTTTTAAATAGTTTATTTTATCGTTTTATAAGACGCATTTTTATGAATATATGTATTTTGTTTTTATTTTTCAGTTTCAATTGGTTTACCTGGATGATATTATATGTCTTGGTTGTATTTGTCTCGTGTTTTCTTATCATTTTACTATCAAGTATCAGAATATATCAGGTTGGACTGACGTACTATGGAATGGGTAAATGTTGTGACTTCATTTGCTTTTGACTTTGATTTTACAGTTGTATGTTGTATATTGTTCCGATCCGTTCTATTGGAAAGACTACTAGAAAGAATAACTATTGAGAAATAGCAAAAAGACTGATATCTACATTAGATATTTTGCTCTTTAGATATTTTATGTATTACATATGTATTTTGGTTATTTCTTTGTAATAATGATATTATATTCTGTTTTAAGTGAAGATACCGACTTTGAAAAAATAAATAAATAATTATAATATTTTATAATAACTTGGTTCTGCTAAAAATAATCGTTTTTTTTTTTTGATATTGTAATATTATATTTTGTTATCTTTCAGGCAATATATTGTTTTTCGGAAGTACATTGGTAATTTATATAATTTTTGTCCATTTGGCCAAGCAATGGCCAAAAGTTATGGGGCAATGGGAACTAATGGAACGTGAAATGATGCGACAATTTAGAAACCCCATAGATATGGCTTACAAGTTCAAAAAGATAACGAGTATCGTCATGGTGCTTTCTATAGGTACCTTTATAGGCTATAATTTCAAATTTATCGTAACGAGTGACATAGTACATTATAACAAATAAATAAGTTGTAAATATGATGATATTTCGTTGGTCCCTTTTTTTCCGAATCGTTTTATTTGTGTTTATATCTGTGATCTTCATTTTATTTTACAGTTGAATATATCACTACTCTTTTAACGGGAATTGTGAAAGCAGTTCCATGTTCGACGGGTGGACTGGATATTATCCGAGCTTATTTTTCTACGACTTTTCGTCAAGTATTCACCGTAATAGATTACTCATTAATATTGGCAATACCTTTGGAATTTTTAAATTTAATAATGGTCAGCGCTTGGAATTTCATGGACTTATTTATAATTTTACTAGCATGCGCTCTGTCCGACAGATTTAAGCAGTTAAATCAAAGGCTAGCCAATGTCAAAGGAAAAGTTAGTAATTATTCAGTTATTATTTTTGTAAATAATTAAATGAAATTTTATATTTTATAGTGATCACGAAGATTAACATATATTTTTGTTAAATTTTTGATTAATTCGACGGTATTGATATAATATTGAAGATTTAAATATGCGATTTTTCTATGCATTATAATATTTTGTAGAATAGAATTAGGGAAACGTAAGGCAGAACAAGAAGAAACAAAAAATTAGTCCGTGTAAAGTCTATGTTAAGTTAAACTCTACGTAGGTACCTATGCCCATACATGTAATGTACTAGCTGTCCCGTGACAGGCGGTGCCCGTGCCAATTTGGATTTTATTATTTTATCCATATTCATTTTTGATTTTGGCCGTGTTAGAATGTTTAATGAGAACAAATAGGTGGAAAGTGGATAGTCTTCCTTTGGTGGACTAAATGTGTTCTATTGTGAAATTTGATTAGTGTAAATAATAGTAATACTAATAATTATAATAGTTTTCTTTTCCATGGCAACCCTTGAATAAACAAAAATCTTACATAAATAAAACAAAGTCGGGTTAGTTACACCATTTAAAACTCAAGAACAGCTGGACTGATTTTGATGATCACATGATGTTTTTCGATTAATTTCTAATAATAATTAATCACCATTTTTTTTTTCATCCCTGTTACCGGGCTAACACAAATCAACAGAAAAAATTGTATTTATTATATTATAAACGAAATGATAAAAATTGCGATTAAAAAATAGTGGGTGGGGGTAGGAGAGTGAAAAATACTTAACGACCTATTCTCAGACATACCAAATAAATACAAACAATTTCATAAAAATCGGTCAAGCCGTTTCGGAGGAGTGCGACCACAAACACGTGACACGAAAATTGTATATATAATATGTATACCAAATCTGAGAGCACGGCGTTAATAAAGTGGTGGACCAGAGCGTAGAACGCACGTTTCACATACCGAAAGCGGTTTTTCCCCAGGCCATTGGTCACCCTTTACAAGAGCAACTATACATTATAACCATCCTTAGAAATGGTGATTGGTTTACAACAACAAAGTACTTAAATTCTACATACATGATACATAAATGCTAATAATAATAATTTAATATTAACGCAAATAAATAAAAAAAACCTAAATACGTAGGTGTTTCTACCGAAGAGACCAAGATAAATAAAATAATATTAGGAATCCAGATTACTACACTAAGATAAGATAAGTCATTTTTATCGTATAATATCTTAAAACCAAGGATCCTAAACATCTAGTTTCTAAATATTAGTATTTCTGGATCAGTATAAAATATAAATATTAAAATGTCCTCTTTTCACACCATGAATCCGTTATGCTCCATATTTCCTTATCATTTACAATTACAACGGAGAAGTCTAAATCACGGTTTAAAATAATACAAATCAATTCCTTTTTTGTGAATTTTTAAATCAGTATTGGAACTAAAGGTTACCGTTTTTTTGAACTATTATTATTCTAAATCAAAAATACTCGTTTTTTCAATACTACAGAACCTATTGATTCATAATCTTGCCACTTAAAACGTGAATGATCAACTGGTCAACTTATCACTTACTTGTCGTATAACTATAGTTAATATTATTAATCTAAATCGTGGTTTAAATTTGTTTAAATGTGTTCATAAGTGAAACTAATGCAAATGTTTTATATTTTCTTCGTGTGTAAATAAATCGGTTAAAAAATATCTATACCAAAGAACACGATGTCTAATCTTAATCAAATACAATTATTTCTACTTTGGGTCTTATACTAATAGAGTAAATTCGTTGGATAAATATAATATTTATTTATGCATATTGTATCGTTTATTCAAAATATCAAACCAATTATTCTAATATCTAACTACTACATATTTTAATAGTACTTAAATAATAGAAAACAATTTTATTTATAGGTACTTCCAAATACTTATTGGCGAAAGTCTAGAGAAACTTACAATCTGCTTGCGTCATTAACTGAAGACTTTGACGAATTTTTATCACCAGTGGTGTTTTTATCATTCTCACACAATTTGTATTTTATTTGCTTTCAACTACTAAACAGCTTGAAGTAAAAAAACACAACATACCTATTAATGAAAATACAATGAAATTATATTATTTACTACTATCCAACAATGTTGCACTTTATATGTATTTGTAGGCTCAAACACGGCTCGTTGGAAACTGTATGTTTCGTGTTTTTGTTTACGTATCTTGTCGGGAGGACATGTGCCGTGACTTTATATGCTGCCTCTATAAACGACGAAAGCAAAAAATCTAAGATCGTACTATTTTCTGTACCGACTGAAAGTTACTGTACGGAGGTAAGTCTAAAATTTGTTCAGTATTTTCATACGTTTATTTATCACTGAGAAAAGTCATAATAAAGAAGTACCTTCCAATGTGGTGTATAAGTACTTACTTTATTAATTTGAAGTAGGTAGACACTTAATCAAATTTTAGGATACAATTAATCATTTATTTACCTATATCTACTTACATTATGCTATGCAAGACACATGTGTTATAAATCACGTTTATATGCCAATACTTTACTTACAAACATTTGATACATGCGAATATAATTCGATATAATTCTAAACCCAACACCGCTAACAATAATTATAGTTGAATATTAAAATTAACATGTTTAGAATATTTTTAACTTACAGGTAGCACGATTTTTAACACAAGTGACGAGCGGCGAATTAGCGTTAACTGGTTACAATTTTTTTTCGGTTACAAGGACATTCATGCTGACGGTAAGTTCAATTATTTTTTTACCACAAAATAGTGTGAATAGGATAAATTTTAGACGTTTTGTGCTAATATTTTTGGGAATTTCATTTATTTGTGCGTTTTATATTAATTTTTATGTAATTTTATTAAGGTTGCTGGAACTATTGTCACATACGAAATCGTATTGCTGCAATTCAATACGGCGCCCAACGAAACGATAGACGAGAACAACACTCTAAACTATTGTCCATAATTATTGTTGAGGTTTATGACTCGAAAATTTAATAAAGATTACAGACAACTTAACGAAATATTTTTAAAGTATTTTAATTATTTATAATAACGTAGTTTGTCCAAGTGATAATAGATTAGACGATATATATGTATTGTGTACAATGAGTTTATCATGTATGCATATCTTTAAAAGAATAATAACATCGCACTTTAAAAAGCATTCATTAAAAAATGTATAATATACATTAGATTATAGATAAGTAACCTATTTTTTTTTGGTCAAACAAAATAAGTGATATTACTTATAGTTTGTACTCATGTAATTAATATATCTGTAATAAACAATAATACCAATAGCTATATAATGGCTTATTACTATTCCGTACGGGTGTCAAATGCAATTTTTAAAACATCATTAATTAGAGTTTAGAGTGTCTTGAATAAATGTAAGAGATTGAAAGAGATAAGAAGACGCTTTAGAAATGAAATTAAAAAACTCACACAAACAATTATTTTACTGCATGTTTATAGGTTACCTGTGATTATTTTACTGTTTAAATACGAATAATAATTTTCAAAGTATCCAATCGTATTTTATCTTATCGAAGGTTTTATATTGTACGATTAATTGGCATAGTGGATAAAAGTTTTTGTTTAAAATTTAGTATGTGTTTGACAGTCGTCGTCGTATATCGTGTTTGGTGCACATTACGATTAAGGATATATTTTTAAAAATTTTAATATTATATCTTAATATATCTTTAATCTTAGTATATTTTTGGTGCACAGAAATATGAAAATACTAGATAGCCGACTGCTATACTAAATACGTATAAAATAATGTCTTCAACAAAATGGCGGCCACCGGTCGTTATCCAAGAGGTGACTAGGTGACTGTTTACAAATTAAACTTGTATGATACGTGAAAAGATATAATTTTGGAGTGCTATAATATTTGTTTTTATTTTAATTTGCAAAACGGACTGCGGCCCAGATACAGAAAAACTTACATGCTAGCTTAATTTAATAATTACATAACCAGATTAACAGTACTATGTGAATACAATATTAATTAAACAAAAATGACGGGTCCTCGTTGGCAATGCGCATCATCCTAGCCATCGGTTGGTTACGCGAGTAGTTAGTGAAGCAGTTTTTTTATGGCGAAAGGATACGGTAATCGGGACTAAAGGTAAGACGTTCTAAAACAAACCTGGCTAAGTAACGTAGGACGGTCTATCATTCCCTCAGTAAGCTCCCTTAGGAACAGTTGGTTGACAATGTAATACGCTATGTACATAATATTTAAATATTATAACATCAATCCTTATCAGTACTATAAAACATAAACATTCACTTTTTAGATAAAGATGATGGCCATTTTATTGGCGTACAATAGTAATATCAATGTTGGCTGTTTAGTTGTTTTATAAATCTGTGGCTCGGTGTATCTATTTTAAAATTAGAAAACGCCTCACTTTCACCCGACATCGTTGAAAACACAAATTTCAAACTTTACCTAAACAAAAGAATAATTGGTGAAAAACTTAATGAAACATTGAAAAATATACAAGAATAAAATCTATGTTTATGTTACGCAGTATTTTAATTGGAAATAATCTGGATGAAGGTTTCCCAATTTTATTTCCTGAGGAAGTAACATAATTTAAATACGCGAAAATTACGCCATGACGTGATGTCTAATGGAGTTTTAGCAAATATAAAAACATATTAAGATCTAACAGAAGATCGTTCATTTTTGAAAATTTAAAACATCATATTGTAATTGTTTCATGTAAAACATCTGAATAAACTTAATAATTATAAAACTATATTTTTTTAGATTTCAGAATTTTGTAAACTTTCTTTTTACATTCGGAGCATAACAAAGAATCTATTGGTTTTACTATGATGTGTGGTTTTTTTTTCTGTCTGTGAACAACTTTTCTATCAGAAAACTTACTCGAAAATTAGGACAATAGTCATTTTTCTGAAAAATAATTTTCTCTAGTTGGTGTACGAGGAGGTCATTGTTTGATTTTCCTAGAGGTTTTCAAAATTATAGGACAAAACCGAAAGAAAATTATAGGTAAAACGATAAATATTTATGTGGCGCCGCGGCGTTACCGTTCTTATTGTTTTTATTATGTTTACACGGTGTTTTTCCACTAGAAATATTGATCCAATTCAAAAATGACAAAATCGATTATGTTGCCTTTAAAATGTTGTCATTGACAGAGTAAGTCGTTTCCCGATATTTAAAGTATTTTATAAGTTGATTAGGAAAAAACAAAAAAAGACAAAATACGTTTTCAAATTATGGCACAGGGATTTCATTATTTTAACTGTTCTCTTTTGGTAAGTGAACAAGAAAGTAATTTTTCAATTTTCTTGAAAGATTTTTTTAATAATTGAGCAAACCGAAAAAAATTAATTCATGAAGTACCGGAAAATTTACAAAAATAATTTTTGGTTTACTCTATTCATGATCATTTGAAATATTGACAAAAGAATATTTGTTTTTTCTAGACGCGGTCAAATGTTTAAAATATTTGATACATTTTTGAGCTAATTATAGACAATTTAATTTTGCCAATTTTTTACGTAATTTTTATTTAGTAGGAACTCTATGGATAAAATTGTAAACTAAATAGAAATGTTTTAAAATTTAACAAATTTCTTAAATTTTACATTTTGCGGTATAAAAAAAAATATCTAAGCCTTATGTAGTGTTTTTTTTCATAAAGGAATTTCAGTATAAAATTTTGACGAAAATCGTTTGAGTAAAAAATGATGCGGAACAAAGCAAGCTACTGGTACTTGATAATTTTTCAATTTCTTTTTTATTGATTACATTTATACCTATTGCCGATTTAAGAATGATGGTGAAGTCAGAATTGTGCGGACTGATTTAGTTTCGAAATTATAGCTTTTTGAAGTCTTAATATTATGCGGATGTTATATGCGTTAGGTTTAATTAAATAACTCAATATTGTCGATTGCATAGTATGCCGCAGTCTAATGCTGGTACACACCTTACGTCATCCCAGCGGTCACAAGTGCAAACCAGAGTTTCGTAAATTTTTTAGTAAAACCTCGTTGAGTAGGCATGTAACGGGGAAAAAACAATTTAATTTTGTTTCAATAAATAAAATTTAATGTAATATAGTATTTTTTTTTTTTTTTAGAAGTTTTAAAATCAAATGTTGACGAAAATCGTAAATATTATAGCCTTTCAAAACATGTATAACTGAATTCCACATAGGTATAAATAAAACAACTTTATACATCCCACCTTCCCCTCTATGTTCATTTTTCATTTAATAATATTTTTGTTGGTATATTTTCGCATAATATTTTAATTGCATATCTCTAGTAAGTATTATCATTATGTACGGGTAGCCACAACAGTACAGTAGCGATCTCTTGTGTCGTTTATTCATCTTAGGAAGTTGATAGCTTAACCACTAGATTACGCTAGTATGACGTCACGTCATAATAATATAACGTCACATAACAATTATTTTTACAATCGAATTTACGACCTACGCTATTATTTTAGTCACATATTAGAATATTTATAATTCAATTTATTGATGAATGATGACATACAAATGTACATACTATTGTGAATATCTATCATCTGTGTAATATTATGTATAATTGAACCATTTTAATTCGCTATTAATCGAATATTAGTAGGACGTGCCGTAATAGCTGAAGAATTGACTAGCACGTGTTTTTAGATTCCGAGTGGAGGAAAAATAGGTTTTAGTTTACTATGTTTTTTTTTCCTGTGATTCAATTTTTCTACCAGTAATTTTGTACAGATTTACAATGATCACACTTTTTCTGAAAGGAAATCTGACTGGGGTGGTACTTTAGGGAGATAATTGTTTGATTTTTCCAGATGTTATCCAAATAAATGGGAACAACCATCAAAAAACATAGGAAAACCGGAAAAAACGGGAAAAGAAGTAAAGTATTAAAGAAATATTATTAAAGAAAATATATAATAAATAAGTATATGTAACTATTTTACCATAATGTGACATATATTATATTGTTAAACATTGTCAACCAAACTCCGCTTAGATTCGTTTTTTCGTTATCAATGGTTTATCGTTGCTTACAAACATACATTCAATTTTTCTTCTACTACCTTCTAAACTTCTCACCTATAATTGTGATTGCACCCGTCCCCATTATCCTAATACAGATTTTTTTAAGGTCTTAAAATTCTAATAATAGCTAATAATAAAGAATTGAACAGTACAGATTTCTCAGTGAAATTCTCTGTTAACTTCACGGTAATAAATCAAACAGGAACCTAAGCATAGATAAAGCCACTAAGAATTACTTTATTGGGGAGGGGGAGGACAAAAACCACCTGTAAGAGGATTTCAAGGACCTTCTTTGCGGCTAAGTAGACATTTCTAGCCGGAATGAGGGCTCAACACTCTACGAGGCACAATCCTTTTTCTGCGAGGACATATTGTGCTGCAAAGAACAAAACGAGAGTATAAAAGAGACGGAGAGAAGAGCTAATCCACTGAATGTCCTGGCAAATCGATTCCTTTTGCATAACTCAATCATGATAACGTGGCTCTAGGTAGGCTGGTGAGTTCGTCATCGGATCTTACCAGAACGACTGACCTGTTGATTCGGAGAGCCGTGTTGTGAAGAGAAGATAACGGTAGGTACAAGATCCAGGTACAAGATCAAGATACGTACAATGATTGGTTTCTCGAACCACGGTCCAAACAAGACCTTTATATTCTATACATTTTTATTATATATCATTATATAATATAGTTACTCACATGAGTAAGTATTCAAATGGCATGTATTGGTTCAGTTCATTAACGCATAAAGCTGTATTTTAATTAAATAATAAATTATGGCAGTAGTGGGATACGTTTAAAAATAAAAAAAATCAAGATAAAAAGGTGCACTATCTCATAGAGGTAAATTATCAAATTATTATTTTAATTCACAATAAGTAAGTCAAACAATTTATAAATGCACAACGGATATTTATTTAGTATTGACATAATAATAATAATAATAATAATAATAATAATAATAATAATAATAATAATATGATAATAATTTTAATAATTATAATAATAATATCTTCTTAACAGTGTGTTATAGTTACAATAACAACATTTAATAAATTAAGTAGTTTACAATTATAATTTTTTATTTTTTTTTTTTTTTTTTGTTGTAACATTGATAGAAATTATATAAATACAATATAAACTACTTACATAAATAATTTAAAATAACCGTTATCTCTAAATTTGATATATGTATAAATAAAATAAAAAGTACGAAAATTTGATTTACAATTTGTGTAATCGGATTTTATATACAGACACCGTACTTTATAAAATGTGTAATGACAAAATTAAAATTTACATAATAATATAATAACACACATCATTTATATATGCACGAGTGTATTATTACTTGTTCTGTATGTATATGGGTTTTGGGCTAACCATGGTTTTGATTTAACAGAACGCGTTGCAAATTACTATCATAACAGATATTTATTTGAATCCAGTCTTCACTGACTAATAATTGTAACCATGAAATAATAATAACCCCGGTAAAACTAAGAAAATAAAAAATTAACAATTTGATCATATTACTATTTTAGCATAATATTTTAAATTGAATAATATTCACAACTGGAAATGATAATATTAACATTATGATACAATGATAATATTATCATTATGCAGGTCAGTTACATGTATGGAAACGTACCGACGCGTAATAATTTCCTACGCGAATAAATAGGCAAATAAAATTATTTAATCACGGCGTAGGTACACCCATACGGTGTAAAACAACGAGACGAACCTATGAAATGGAAAGATTATTAAAACAAATATCCCGACAAAACGACGTGATATTAATAACGAACGCTATGTGAAATGTGCAGTACACAGTTAAAAATATAAAATTATACCTGCGGTTTTATTTACACAATAACATTGTTGAGGTTACAGTGATTGGATTGACAATGGTGGTCGCAAATTCTTAAATAACACACACACACACACAGAACAAATTTCGTACCTATGCTCTATGAAGGGGTTTGTATTGACGAACGGCACGGAACAATATTACCATATTACCGTTGACTGGCGCCAAATGTCAGGAAAATCACCACACCGACCAATCGAATCGTGGCTCCCGCGAATTAATGTATTATTGAATCGGGTCCTGATAACATTTTAAACTAGTGATTCTCAAAGTACGTAGATAGGTACTTATGTATTATAATTTTACGAATACATAAAATTCAATTTCAATAAATTGTATTCTACTTTTAGTAATGAATTTTTTGGTTTTAAATTTGTTATTAATTATTTGCACTATATGGGTAGTTAACTATAACTTGTAGGAGTATATAGAATTACAGAAATTATAGAAGTTAATGTTTTGATTGTATAATTAAATGGACAGTTTATTAACGAATACAATATAGAGGGAGTCAATTCAATAGGTAAATATTTGACCAGTACCTAGTGACCGCTTCAGCAGGATATTAGTTATTCATTAAGTGTAATTATTATTAACAAAATGGTTTTTTAATAAATATATCGATTCGTATATTTTTTATCATCTTATTTAGAATCAATACAACTATTGTTTAATTTTCGTGTTTGTTTTCCTTTGATTTAAAATAATTACAAAAACAACAACGACATCAAACGGAGATTTAAATAAATATTTTTTCCTGGAGTTTTTACTTTAATAATAAAAAAAAAATCACTTTAACCTCTCTGCTAAATAAATTAAAAAAAAAAGTTTTAATATGGTCAAAATAATAAGAAAAGTTTTTTTGTTTTATTTTTATATTATTTGTGTAGTTTTAGAGAAAAAACTTTCATAACGATTATGTTACTGTTAAGAGAAAACCGCAAGGAGGATGTAAAAAATATTGGTTTTTAAAATTTTTTTCTTAAGTTTTATTCGTTCTTCAGTTGCCTATGTATAGAAATACATAGGTAAGACTGTAGAATGTACACTGTATAGATACACAATGTTGTTAAAATTACACGGTTTCTTTAATCTTGAAATTTTCGCTAAAATTTGATAATTTATTCTAAATTGACCTAATCACGAATGGGGGAAAAAAATTATTTTTTTAGGGATGGAATTATATGTGAAATAGAACATTTTCTATTTTAACGTGACAATACATAAACGTATAACCGAACTCAAGAATGCCAAGTTAAGATATACGCGGTAAAACCGAATAAATCACCCTGGAAAAAATAACACGATTTAACGACAATCGTTGTATGAAAATGGGAAAGTGATTTCAATAAACCGGTTGTATGGCCTTAGAAAAAAAAAAAAGGCAATGAAGGGATACAATATTATGACAATACACTATACGGTCTTTATGGACTTCAGCGAGCGGCATGGATTTCAACGAAAATGCAAAAAATATCGGTCTTTGTAAAAACGAACCAACTGGAATTAATATAATATATTATATATATTTTTGCTAAGATAATGATCTACCTAGATTATCACTGTTGAAAGGATCGCCATTTTGTATTTTTGGTCTGGGTCAGTTTCCTCGCTCCTCCGCCCGGTACGTCTGATAAGGAAAAAAATCATTGCAAATGATATTATAATATCAAACATTTCAAATATTCCTGGCTCCATATTACGCTGACATCCTCGGGAGCTCGGAATTTTAATGGAAAATATAAAATATAAAAATTGAATATTTTAATGGAATTTATGCTAAACCACGTCGGGTAGGTCACAGGGCAAAAACGATTTCTTTTCATTTACGGATTATATTATACGTATATTTAATATTTATATAAGCGTTATAATATTGTACAAATATCAATATGTTATTATATAATATACTCTATAGAATGTTTACCTAACTACTTGCGAGTTATATTATCTTTAAAGCCAGGAAACTAGTCAATTATAACCCACATGCAATTTATAGGAAATAATAAAACAATACAAAATTAATTTTTGAAGAGAATTTTCCGAAATTGCCCAATTATTCCATGTTTCGGAAAGCTTTTTTTTCAGAAATTTTGATTCCTAGTTATTACTTTAAAAATTGACATTCGCCAAACACATTTTGGGTCAGTGTTGTCAACTGTTGGCGAATATCATATTTCGGATATTTTATTGCACAAATAAAATCTGTAATATGTTTCAACATTCACCAACGCATTTTGCGAAAAATCTGAATAAAGCTTGCATACAGTCTATGGGAGTTACGGTAATTGATACGTAAAAAATGTGCAGTTTTTATAAGCAAAAATGCCCATGTACCCCCTTCCAAAAAGGGTACTTTTTTGTACCATCCTACTACATACTTATATTGGTATAAACAGATAAATCCTATCACGTGTGGTTGAAAATTGCTGATCAGTTTTATTCATGACTGCGCGAAATATAAAATCAAATCGGTTTCGATTTGTCGAATAAGCGTGACGATTATGCGTTGTGACGCAAATTAATAAAATACAACGGAAAACTTTCGATCTCGCAGGGACCATTACACGTGGATTTGGCAATGCATATTATTACGCTTTACGTTTGCAAAGCTCATTAGAAGGTCAGATAAGACCAAGAGCCAAACGTCTCGTGTACGAGAAGTGAGCAGTGTTGAAACTTAGCTACATAATAAACTAGAAAATATCTGTGTACCTATGGTTTAATTTTAGTTGAAAATTCGACATTTATGCAGCTATAGTGTTTTACAAATTGTTATTTTTTTCATCTAAACAAATTATAATTATATATTATTTTATTTTATAAATTTAATTTAAATATGTATTATCTTAATCTGTATCTAAATAAACTTTACTTATTTGCGTCTCAACATTGATAGTGAAGGACCTTTAGAAACGCGTTAAACAAATAGGTGCATAAGGTATCATATTAATATTACATTCTTATTCACAAGCATGAAACTAAAATTAATAATATGATTTAAGATCAAAGTTCATGTTTACAGATTAAAAAAAAAAAAAAAAAAAAAATATTAATACACTGGCGCACGGTCCGAATAACGGATCCGTGTGACGATACCGCGGACCGACGCGATATAATGACGTAATAATACAAATATGTACATAATATTATAATATTATTACAATCAAATCGGAAATATTAAACTTAAATATTTTGGGACAAAACATGTTATTATAATGTTATTTACAACGATCCCGCGAGTATTTTTCTAATATTTCATTTGATACAACGTTTGACGATTCTAGGAGAGAAAAACCGACATTTATAATTCGTTATACTTGCATAAACGAACGATTTCCAGTTATACGAGAACAATTATCGGGACTCAAAGAAACATCTACGGGTCCCGTAGACAGCAGCCGCTGTGGAGCGCCGGAGTATAAGGTAGCAATGATACTCCTGCCAGCGACTCTAGCGCTCCGTAGCGGCCGCATCCTACGCGAGTGACAGCTAAATATCCGCGTACCACGGGATATCCGTTTAATGTTAAATCAATGATGTTTTTACTCGTATGTGGTTTTACAGTATACAAACTACGTTCGTCAGCTATTTTATACAGGACAACAGCCGATCGGACGATCGGTAAACGCGTTTAACATAAAACATTCGATAATAATATAATGGTGACAGTGGCGTCGTCGTTGGCGACAGGTCAGACCCTCATCTCACTCATGGCCGCCACGGGCATCTTGAGCGTACCGGTTTTGGGCATCTGGTTGAGACCGATACCCTGCTGCACCAACAGCGGTTGTGACTCCTGTGACTGGGCGACCGTTGACCTGGGCGGCGGCGGCGGTTTCGGCAACGTGCCGTGCATCACCACCGATCCGTTAGGTGGCCCACCGGAATTCTGGTGATGGTCGCCATGCAGCATCCTGGACGAAGATTTGGCCGCTTTGGGAAACGTCATGTCGTGGCCGGCCGTCATGCGGACCGCGGTAGAGGCAGACGGCTGGACCAGCAACGGCGGTGGAGGCCCCACGTGATGGTGATGGTGAAGGTGTTGATGATGTCCGCTACCACCGTGATGGTGATGTCTCTGTTCCATATCCACGGCCACGGCGTCTACGGTCTGCTGTTGCTGGTGCTGATGGTGCTGCTGTTGCTGCTGCTGCTGCTGCTGCTGATGTTGATGGTGACCGTGGTGGTGGTGTTCGTAACCGGCCTTGTCAACAGCTTGCGGTGGCCTGCAGTCGTCCGGTACGGCAGCCGTTTTGTATCTGACCGATTTTTGCATAGTGCGGTCACCAGTCGTCTCTTGTCCGCCGCTCGTCTGCTGCTGGTGGTGCTGCGGCTGCTGCTGTTGTTGCAAACACTTGAACCTGTCCTTCTGGTAGCATATGATGACTAGTAGCAAGCCGTTGAGCACCAGAAGTGAGACGCCCAGTGCGATAGTCACGTGCAATGCAGTCGAGTAAGCCGCGTAGCCGGCGGCGCCCAGCGTGGCCAGCGCGTCCTCAGCCGTTGTCGACGAGTTTGAAGCATTCGGGCCACCTCGGGCCGGTGGCAGACACGTCGTAGTCTCTACCGGCCACTGCGGCCGTCCCGTGGTAGTCAGTGATTGCACCACCTCGGCCACCGTCCCGTTGGCCGTGAATCGGTTCACTGTGGCCCGCTGTGGTGCCCGCCTGGACAATGGGTCCGGTCTGACTATGCCCTCGTACAGGTCCGCGTCGTCGTGGTTCCGGAACAGGTTGTGCCGGAGCATCACGTCCTCCATCCCAGCCCGGTGCAGTTCCGGTATGAGCCGCAGCCACACGGACAGCTGGTGTGCCCGGAAGTGGTTTTTCATCCGTGGCTTCATGCCTGCAATCATCACGAATAAACCCCGCATTAGTATAAATGATAATTCGCCATACGATACCATATTTTACGATCGTTTACATTCTATGAAGAAGGATAAAAATGTATTGGTGTACAGTGTAAGTAAACTAAAAAAAAAAATAAACTCCAATAGCCAAATATTAAAGTACCTAATACATAATATACTTAAGATTACAACCGTGTGTTTGATACAAAAAAAAAATAATACCTATTATCGTTATAAATTACTTCAATAAATATCAAGAAAAAAATCGATAAATAATCGCGTAATGGTTAGGTTAGATTAGTTATTAGTAAAACTCGGATGTTAATGACCAAAATTTCTTTAAATTAAGAATTAAAAAATTACAAAATATGCAATTATAATCCTTATAATTTATATTATTTTATTTATTTTCAACAGAATAGTTTATCATTAAATATACCTATTTTTTAACAAATATACACAAAAAACGTGTTAACATTAATTCAAAATAAAAGAAAATAAAAGAATTAAAAAATTTAAATGTTACATAGGTTAAACACTTTGTTTAATAGTTACCGTACAATTTTTTAATATTATATTGTTTAAAATAGGCTACTAAATCTAGAAACAATTTATATAAGCATTTATACACTCGAAAATGTCAAGTATACAAATATATACAAAATAAGTTTGCATATTATTTCATTTAAAAATCTTGATTTCATGAATCTAATTTATATTATATTCGGGTTTAATTCTGATTTCGCTAAAAATTATGCGAAGTCATAAACATCCGGGCTCTAGTTCTTAGCAAAATATAACAAAATCGACTGAGTGTAAGATACGTTGTTGCGTAACAAACTAACGAATAAATTTCGATCATTTAGGGTTAAAGGCATATTATAATGCATTTTATATTTTGAGTAAGGTTAGGTTAGGTTTTTTTTTTAGGTAAACAAATATTTACTGGAAATATTGCTCCAATTTTCAAGTGTATTAGCTATTCTAAAAGGAAATTTTATCTTGGTGGTACTTTGAGAGTGTCACTTTTTGATTTTGTCAGGATGTGATAAAATTTTCAAAATATTCGAGCCATTTTTGAGCTATTTATAGATGTTTTTATTTTACTAGTTTTTTACGTAACATTTATTCAATAGGTACTCTATGGATACATTTTTCAAACCAAACAGAAATGCTTGAAAATTTAACAGGAGTTTTTATCAGAAATTTTAAATTTTACGTTGTGTTTAACAAGAAGAAAATGAATTTAATGTAGAATTTTTTTTAATACGAATTTTAATATAAAATTATAACATGTATAACCGAACTCCACCCAGAATTGTTTTTTTTTTTGCAATCATTTATCTTTGCATACGAAAAATAAATTCCCCTTTTAATCGTACCTTCTCAACTTCTCACCTACATCTGTGACCCACCCATCGTGCGAAATAAGTTTTTGTTGTATGTCTTTTTTTGTTTCACAGTTTATATTGTGTGCCTTTTATTTTTCTGCGTCTGTAAACAACTTTTACGACCGTTATAATCTTGTTACAATCATCAATTTCAAGAACAGTTTCTGGTAAACTGTATTATTGTGTAATACGGTTATTGTTATTCGCACATTATGAGGTGTTAAGCGTAATCGTACAATAGTTTAAATACATTACATGAAGAAAAGAAGAAAGAACTGAGTACTTGTATGCATATTTGCACGCGGTGTTCTCAAAAAAAAGAATGAAAATAATATTCATATGAAATGAACAAAATTTCGTAAGCATAGAAAATCTTCAATAACATATTATAGATAACATTCTATACATTGAAAAATATACGACATTATTCTAATGTCGTACATCATATTTCTGCATTTATGGTTAGATATTATATTTGCCTAAACGTAATATTGTATAGTGACGGGAAAATAAATCTACTAATATTTTACTGCAGTGTACAGCGATGCAATATTATCATATTAGCTGTATTTATTTTTTTAAATTATACGTCAAGGTCAATATATTATGTACGTTTTTAAGAACGTATTTTGTTGACGATCCAGTGGGATTCTCATCGAACGTGGAATGCATTCTGAAAGTGGAAATCTAGGTCTCAAATACAATTTTTTACTGCATTATAAAAACAAACAAAAAATGCGTTTTCCCCGACGACGTTTTTTTCTATACTCTTAAGTGATTTAGTGATTTTTACACTTAGGTATGGTCATATTTTGCGGCGTCTATATAATTCAGTAGCCATTTTAGAAAAGCTAGTATTCTTAATGAGCAAATAAATAAATAAATCTACCATACAAGATTTTGAACTCTTGCATATCACGTAAATTATTTTGAAATTTTAACGTGCTACTATTCCGTTTGAATAAAATAGGTTATTGGTCTACACACCTATTGGTTAGGTCTACAATTGGTAATCTGAAATTACTAATGTATTGTGAATTTACATTTTAAAAGGTTATATTTACTTTACTCCACTGTTGATAAGTTTGAAAGGTATTGAGTACGATGAAATTTAATTTATGTACTGACATAACAATAAATCATTGCAATCAAAAAATTATTGTAAACAGAGCTTGGTAAACCGGTAATGTTATTTTCACCCTTGTTCACGGTAACACAGGAATTAGTGAAAAAAAAAAACCAAAGTATCGTCATTTTTTGATTGATTTTAATATTTTTTAAAATCTGTAAGAACCCTAGAAACATGTTTCAGATAAAATTCCACCGGTGAAATTCCGCATCTTTTAAGATACCGTGTGAAAATATCAGAATATTTTGTTCACTTAAAAAGTGTTTTCAAACAGTTTAAATATTTATAAACTATATTTAACAGTAGCTGTCAAATTTTCAAATAAATTACTATCAGGTGAAAAATCTGCATATTGAGGTGTAAAATGGAAAATTCTTTTCGAAAAAAAAATGAACAAAACACAATATTGAATATTATTATTATTAGAATATTAAATTTAAAACGTATTTTTCTGTCTTTAAATGATGCAACATTTATGATCAGATTATCATCTATGTTCAACAAACATTGTCCAGGTAACAAAAAAAGTCTTGACAAATGTGTGATCGTAAATATTATTTTAAATTTCAAATTTTGTTTTTTTTTTTATACTTCTCTTTTTGTGAGTAAAATTGCAAGTAATGTTTGGAAATAATTCTATTACCTGATTGTAAATTCTCTTTCTATTAAAAGCACTGGAACACAGTTTTAAAATTTACTGTAAAATTTACGTTTGGATAAAAAGAAGGTGCCATTCCTATAAATATGATAGCTATGCCACCGAAAGTCTAAGTCTACGCCACATACGCCTTTAACTGGCCCCGGTCTCCATTATTCTTCCAATTAGACTATATATTCTACTAGGTTACTACCACTGATGTGGATGACCGGAGCAAGGTTT